GAGCGTCCGGTATTGGAAGTAGGAGAGAGATTCTGTCGTCGGAGCTCTGGCCAGGAGGAGAAGGATAACGACGATGGCGAGGGTTTTGTTTACCATTTTGATTTCATCATAGGGACGGTGATGCTTTGGAAGGTTCTTTTTGGGAAGATCTGGTATTTCCTACGAATAGCTGAATTGCTAATGGGTTTGGGCCTAACCTTCGGTAACTTCAGTAACCAAGTTGGGTTGAGGTATAGAGCCAAAAGTACGGTGGGGGGTGATAGAGGATGTGCTCGTACGGTTCAAAGAAGGGTATGATTAACTCATTGATTGTTGGGAACTTTACCAGACACTTCATCCTGGAAAAAGATAAATAAAAAAATTTCTTCCTTGATGACTAAGGTTGTTGTTTTCCTCATTTCTTTAATCCGAAAGGTCTTGAGGTTTCCTATCAAGCCAAGGAAGTGGATTCCCGCAGTTACTGTGATCATAGCTGTCCCCACTGGAATCAAAATCTTTACTTGGATCGCCTTGTGGGGGGGTTCGTTACAATACAAAACACCCATGTTATTTGCTATAGGGTTCATCTTTTTGTTCACCATAGCAAGACTCACTGGAATAGTCCTGACAAATTCTGGGCTAAGTATCATTTAAATTTTATATATTGAGTAAAATTATATTTGTATTTTTTATATCTTATTCTGTATCATTAAATTTTATAAGAATTTTGTTATTTTATATATATATATATATATATTTGTGTTTTGTTAAGGATTTCATGATTTTTAAATATCATTGACTGTGACATTATTTATAATAATTTATGTCTTCTATAATATGATATTATTACTGGGGGGTCGATACAATACAAAACACCCATGTTATTTGCTGTGGGGTTCGTCTTTTTGTTCACCACAGGAGGACTCACTGGAATAGTCCTGGCAAATTCTGGGCAAAGTATTAAAATTGTTAGAAAATAAATCACAGTGACATTATTTAAATTTAATATATTAAATAAAATTATATTTATAGTTTAATATATTTTATTCAGTATCATTAGATTTTATGAGAATTTTGTAATTTTTTATGTGTATATATATTTTAAATATTTTATGATTTTTAAGTATTTGTAACTGTGATATTATCTGCAATAGTTTATGTCTTCTGGAATATGTGAATTTAAGCTTAAAATTTATGGTGTTCTTGTAAAATGCCTAAATGTCTAAGTATATTCGGTTGAATTAGAAGAAGAGAAATTGAAAATTATTGAAACTTATTATGAGTTTAAATTTTTATCCCTTACTTTTTATTAAGATCCTTTTTAAGCAAATGTTATATTAGTTAAAAAGAAATTTAACTAAGAGTAATAGGTAAAAATTTTAAAAACTTATTTTTAAAATAATTTGACAAACCTCTTTTTCTACGGTGCTTTTATGAGCACTTCTTGAGCTGCCATGTGGCAGCCATCCCCTCCCCTCTTTTTTCTCTTTTTACTTCTCACATTTTTATTTCTTTTTATTTTTATGTTTTTTTTTTGTTTTTGCAAATGTTTTTTTTTGTTTTTTTTTTTTTTTTACCGAGAGCAATGTTTTACAAAAAAAAATTTTCCTCAATTTACTCCTATGAAAATAAGTTCTTTCACGTGTGTTTCTATTTAATCTTTTTGTCAATAGTTAAAATTATTTTTTTCAAATGTGCCCTCACTTAATTATTTTTTTGTAATTCTTATTATATCAAAAGTTTTCTTTACACTTATTTTTTATACACTAAATCGTCTTCTTTTAATTTACAGTTATATAAATCTCTTTTGCTACTAATGAGAATGTTTGTTTTAAGGGTTCGTCTATGGTTTTGAATCATAATTCTTAGTTCTCTACAGTGTTTTTCTCTTTAAAAAATTTGAATTTCAAAAATCAGAATCATAAATCATGGTTTTGAATCCGTGAACCAAACATCCCATAAGTGTTTGGAAGAAGAAAACGAGTGTTGTTTCAACTAAAGTTTTAAAAACCTTTTTAAAAAAATTTAAAAATTTCTTAAATGATTATATAAATAAATTTCTCTTTATCCGATAAATAATAAACTCTTCAAGTGTCTTAACACAATAATACAAAATACGTTCTCAAAACTAGTTATTTCTTAAATGAATCAGTGAAGCACGTTCAAGGGCCTTTGTGAAGAACATGAGAATTGTTAATTAGAGGAAGAAGCGCATGATCCTAGTACATAGAGCATGGTCGGATAATATATATAATAATATATATTATATGTATACATATACGAGTGTGGTTTTAATATAGTTACTCTAATATTTACCTATCAATAAGTATTTTTATTTTAGATATATATAAATCAACAATTATAACAAATTAGATAGTTGATAAAAAATTAATAATAATTAATAATGAAATTAGATTCTTATCATCATTAAATTTTTATATTTGAT